CTGAGGATTCCAAAGGCTTCAGAATGCCAGTCAGCCTAGAAATTCTCGGCTCCAAGGAGTGCAGCCCCGCCTTTGCTCCCCCCCCCCCCCCGCAGTGGCAGCACAGCAGGATTGTTTCTTGCCAGGCTTCCCCTGCAGAGCGCGAGGAGGTGCTCCAGGCGCTGGCACCAAACCTGCGGCCGCCTATTCGGTGCGCTGGCTCAACTTGGAGTCTATGCTTCTAGCTCCTCTTGTGGGTGGTGTTGCTTCTTCGATCTCCCAAATCTTTCAGAAATGTAAGATCCAAGCTTCAAGATTCTGCTTCTGTCCAGTGTGGGAGATTTGGATTTCGCGGCTTTGGAGCACTGCGACCGCTACATCTGTGACATGAAAGCTGGTATGTGCAAGAGCCGCGATGCCTTCGGATGTAACGACTTAAGTTGGTGGACACGGGCATGGTTCGAAGCAGCTATGCAAGCCTGGAGCCACTTTCCACTTGTTGTGCGACAGGTCTTTCATGCAAAGTCTCAGTGGGGAGCCGGACAGTGACGACGAAGCCGCTCAGCTCAGCGGCAGCTGTCGCTAACCAATGGTTCGAGGACTTGCAGTCAGGTGGTCAGGAAGTGGTCAGGTCGAGCATCAATCCGGCTTTCGGTGCTTGGTTGTGTTCCTCGAGCTCGCAGTGCTTGGTTGTGTTCCTCGAGAGGGTCTAGATTTTAGACTTTTAGACTCTAAACATCTGTGGCAGCAGAGGCGCATCTAGACATCGACTTCGATGCGCCACCGGCCTTGATTCGCAAAAACTATGATGACGAGGAGCAGAAGTGGGAGGGAGCGCACACAAATCCTCTGAAGGGTCCTCAGAAACATCACCTCTTGATCGAAGGGGGTGTTTTCTAACGCATGGCACAGGACGGGGATGACTGGACCTTCGCGGCTCTTCGGCCGCATTTCCAGCTGGAAGGCATCTGAGAGGAAGGGTCTACAGTGTCTACAGGCTTCGAAAGAGAGCCCGGGGAGTGTTGTGATGTCTGCAGTGACGTCCTGCTCTTTGCACGCAACGGGCTGCGACCGAGGCCTCTATGGTCGAGCAGGCCCGGAAGTCGCGTGCGAAGCAGAGGCACAAGCGCAATGAGCCTCGGACGAAACCATCTGCATTCAACAGCACTCCGCAACTTTTCCTTCGTGCCACCATGGTGTGTGTGTGTGTGTGGCCCCGTGCAAGATTTGCGAGCGAGGTCCCTGTCGAGCCCATCGAGCTTGTTGCAGCTTTCAGCAACATCAGGGGAACGGCCGTCACTGCGGCTTGTGGTGTGGGTCAACAATTCCAGGACGTTCAGTTCAGGGATGCATATCTGCCACTCGCAGCTGGACCGGCTGGGTGGAGAGTGGCAACAGAGGCATGCCACTCACTTTTTGCCCGAACATGGCCCAGGTATGCCATGCACTCAATGACCGCCAGACGACGCTGAAACTAATGAGCACCTCGGCTCTGTTATTGATGTATTCTGCGACAGCCTGCCTTGCGTTTAAGTTTAAGCTGAGCAGTCGATGGCACAGGACCTTTTGAAGTCGCACCCTAGCCAGCCTCGCCTGCGGAGTCCAAGTTGCGAGAGTCCAACCTGCGAGAACAAACCCTGCTTCTGACAGTTTGATCGCTTGATCATTTCCACAGTCATACGAGGCAACAGCACCTTTGCAGATGCGAAAGATGCTCGGTACCAATGATTGACACAGCAGGTCTTGGATCTTGGATGCTCCCAGACTACGGCTTTTGCTTGCTCACTGATGCAGGTAGTAGTCTATGAGTCTTGACGAAATCAACGTGTCAGCAGGCTCTAGAGAATTCTCTTCGGCTGCTTCGCCGAGGATGCTATATACCAGCGCCTGAAAGAGGAGGGGAAGTACTTCCGCAAGTTTTACTTTGCCACACCCTCGAACGTCAGCCTTGGCAAGCCTGCTATGAGTCTTTAGACAGTGCTAAACATGCATGCTTGCCAAAGCTGCGATGATGAGAGCGTTGATTCTTGCACTTCCTTTGGTGTAGCAGCGAGGTGAAGAAGGAACGCAGCACGTACCAGGCGTACAAGGAGCGGTGTTGGCTTGGCATGCTGTTGCCTAGTGCATCCTTGTGCCACTCCGAGCTGCCAGGACACGGACCAGATTGGACACATCCGCGAGGTCGCCTGAATCGGAAATCAGCGGAAGATAGCATCTGTTGCTCGAGCGTGGAAGCGCTGACTGCGTCAGACCGATTGCTCCGCTGCAGTTGAAGAAGTCAACGGTTAGCCTAGTTCGCTGGATCAAACTACCCCTTGCTGGCGGTCGCACAGAACCCAACCAGCTGCATGCACCCATGGGTCCATATTAATCCATATGTCTGGCAAGAGTGCGCAGGTCCGGTTGGTTGGTGCAGATCTGCCTCTGGAGCCCAATGCTGGAGCCCTGCTCTTCGGCGACTGCCCCTTGACAAAGACACGACCTTTTCCCTCGCCCTTGCTAGATCATTCACAGCACGCTGGTTGTGTATTATGGTTTATGCAAGAAGACGGCCAGTGTTCGGGCCGGAAAATACGAAGTAGCAGGTCTGGAATCCTCCACTGAACAGCTGAGGAACAAGTGTGATCACATGCTTCGGGGCAGAGTTGTACATACTGGCACGTGCCACCAGAAGACGAAGAGATGAAGACGATGCCCCGGTAATGGTTGACACAGCATTGCGCAGAAGCTTCTGCGGCTGTGCGGTTGCAGTACCGTAGTAGGAACGAAAAGAACGACGAGTCTTTATCTCCGTCTGTGGCGAGTCTCAAACACGAAGAATCGCAGAATGCTCGTTTCGAGTCAGCTGTGGCCAGCCACGCGTTTCCCAGCTTACGTCGAGGCACCGGACCTCAATCAACTGTTTAAGTGTAGACGAGCGGCAGCATGCGATGCCGTGTGAGTTGCTCTTGACTTCGTACATTGTGAGAGAGAGACCATGGGCAGTCAAATGAATGTGGCAAGCATTCCGAGCAGCTCGTGGCGGCGACCTGCCCATCCTGTGATGGAAAAGTGCGTCGTTGCGGGGTACAGAGGGTGCAGTGTGCGTCAGTGCAGTGACGCAAGGTGCAAGAGTACAAGAGAACGAGTGCACTGAAGGCCGAGGCCTTCGGTGCCCGAGTGCCACTTTGCATTGCAGCATCTCAGCGTGGAGGTCGAGGTGGGCCCGGGCTGGCTGCTCCGCTGTGCAAACAAAAAAGCTCCAAAACCACTTGTCAAAGCTGCAGGTGTTTTCGCGGGAGCTCCTATCGCTGCAGGGGAGACTGTCGAAGTGTGCAGCCCGGCTGTAGTGAACAAACCGTGCTGTTTCATCACACTTCTTGTGCCAGCGCCGGTTCATCCTGGAGGCAATTTTTGCCAGACGCCGAGGCCCTGTCTTGGCCCTTCGACGTGATCACATTGATGCAGACTGCGCCGGAATGCGCTACTTTTTCAGCGGCTCGGCTGGTTGGGCATGGGTAGGCTCTGGCTGTGTCAAGGGGGCTTCCGGATCTTCTTGCAGCATTGGCTTGAGGTTGTGCCTGCTGCACTTAAGCTTGTGTTCAGGCTTTCGCGACGCGTGCATCTCCAGGGAAGATTGCTGTACCTGTCGACCATGCTCGATCCTTGACATAAGTGGCTCAAGTGTGGGACAGCAGCTACCGTCTAGTGCAGAGCCAATATGTCGACATCTGCGAGCACTTTCAGGACCTGCAGAGATGCTTTCGTTCAGAGGGTCGATGGGCAAGGGCGTCGGGTCCGGGCAGTGAAAGGAGCAAGATCGGCAATGCGTATCCGAAGTCAGAGATCGAAGATCAACAGCTGCAGCATCTCGGTCGCAACGTCGGCAGCGTTCAAGCCAATGACGGAGCACGTTTCAGGCTGAAAGCGGAGTTGGCTGCCATGAAGAAGATGGGACGCAACCGACAGTGCCTTGGATTTGTTGGGTTGTCGTGTCATCGTGCTTTTTAAGGGGGCCCGAAATAGCTTGCCGCCACATCAATCGGACCTCCCAGATGGCGGCAACTTAGAGTTGCCCATAGGCCATAGCCCCATAGGCGTAGGGAAGCAAGTCCAGTGATCATTCCGGGGCGCTTGTCGCCAATAGCGAAACATGGGGTTTTGCATGAGCTTCTTAAGAAAGCTTTACGTCGGTTGACATCTTGGGTGCTGAGCTTCACGAGCTTGTGTGCAGGTGCTTTGACTGCGGCGTAGCAGATGTCAGCTGGGCCTCGCCGAAACTGGGTACATTCATCTGTGTGCCGTGGCTTCGAAGCGACAAAGCCTATCGTTGCCCCGCCGCCTGTACGCTCACTTAGAGGTCACTTGCTCCGATGTGCATCGGGCCGCCGGTGCTCACATCACCTGTGTTAAGACGCTCGGCTGCAGCTCCGAGTTCAGAGCCACTGATCCAGACTCCTGTCAGTTTGACGGTACGGAACAATGAGAACGGAAGCATTCTCAGTGAAAATGCTATCCGCGGTCTCTTGACCGTGCGCTTCTGGCAAGGAACTTCAGCACCTACCTCTGGTCTCCGGACGAGGCACAGACGCCGATCTTTCAGGGCTCTAAGGTAAGATTGCAGGTCAGACAATACCAGCTCCTTGACTCCTGGACCAGGCGCTATTGAAACCTAGGCTTGCTCGGAGGAGAAACCTTGCGGCAGCATGGACTACTTGTACGGCCAGGTAGAGCTGCCCATTCCCCACTTGATCAAGCCAGGTAGAGCTGATGCGCGCCGTGGGCAACACTCGTGCGAAGGCGCGTTGCTCTCACGTGTCACCAAACACCACGAATGTGGAATCCGGTGTCGTGAGCCGGATGGGTGTCTGTTGCAGGTGTCCTACTTTAGTTTTGAGTGCCTGGCAAAAGCGGCTGGAGCATTGGCCCAACAACATAATTTCGCAAGAAGCGCAGGCGCCTCACCCACCAGTGGCGTCCCAGTCTGCTCAGCATCCAGTCTGATTGCATGGTTCGCCAAATTTCGGTAAGTTGTAGCGGTATTGTTCTGAAAACAACTGTCCAAACCTGAGTCCACATCTCCCATTAAGGTACTCCATTCAGCGAGCTGTCTTTTCCGATGGCAGAGTTGCGTTTCGTCCACTGCCGTCTTGTTGTCGTGGCTAAAAAAGAGGAAGTTTTCCGGCCGGGGACCGACCTCTCCTGGCAGCCTGGCGAGTCCAAGGAGCAGAAGGCAGGGAATGTACATTCTCCAGATGTTGCTGACAATGCACATTCTCCAGCTCTTGTGAACTGTTGCAAGCTGGTGAAGGTGCTAAACGTGCTCTGTCTTGTTGAACTGTTGCTCGCTTACGAGCATGGTCACCTCATACCTGATGTGTAGCTACTTGTCATGCCGCCGTGAGTGGTAAAGGTGCAGGGGGGATTTAGAGGTTGGAAGTCTTTGAGCCTGGACGGCGTGGGAAAGTCTTGCTGCAGTTCTCTTGATCCGGACCTGCCTGCGGATTCCACACCTACTGGTACCGCATGGCTCACTTGGGTAGTTCTCTAAATTAGGGTCCCTTTTCAGGTCCCCCATATAGTACGGCACCCTAATAAAAATGGCCCTAAAAGGGACCCTAATTAAGAGAACTACCCACTTGGTGCAGGTGCGGCATTGCACGAAGCTTTACGGAACAGAGAAAGCACAGCTTGCGGTCAAGCGGCACATCGAAGCAGATTCTCGGCTGCCGCACTTTAAGACTTTAAGTCATAACAGGGTTTTGGGGTATATTATACTATACTTATAATTTTTGTTTTAGGGTTCAGGGTTTATGGTTTAGGCGTAATTTCTGTTGATGTGTAGCCAGTGTAGTCTCGACGCTTCACTCGAGACCCAGGCCACAGCAGCAGCGGGCCCAGGCCGGAAGGCTGCACCGGTACCTTCGCAAGGCTACAGCCAGAACCTTCCGAGCCAGCCTGCCGCACCTTCCCGGAGCGTGGCCCCAGCAGCTCCTGACTTGCTGGGAGACTGGCCCACGACAGAGAACGAAGCTGTAGCTGCCAGCCATGACTCTTCATGGCCCGCAACGTCTCGGATGGGTATGTCCGTGGGAGCGTGGCCGTGCCCATCTGCGCCAGCAGCCATTACCGCACAGTCCCGTGGCTAATCAAATTTACATAGGTTGTCGGAATCGACCAGATCGATTTCAGGTTCTGTGCCTGCTTACCAGGCGTCTTATGTGAGGACTGCTAGGACACAAGTTGAGGCACGACTTGATAGACCTTTTCCCGTCGTCTACTATGGATAGTGCTTGGCACGGAAACGACTGCGGCGCGGCACCTTCTTCCCAGAGCTGCGGGAAGACAGCCGCCTCTTTGCATGAGAAGGACGGCATGTGTGGGTAACTGATTAGACAGCTGCGCGCTTTGACTAATCGCACAAGTGCATGCGCAGTTTGGCTCCGCTTTGTCCAGGATTTCTGGTCCAGCGTGAACTGGGACGAGCTGCTCAAATGATTTCGCACATGTGAGCCACTTGATGAAGACAAATAGAGCGAGAACCTGCTCAGTGCAGTGCCAGGCACAGGCATGTACAGCGGTCCATGAGCGGCATTCGCCTTTGGACGTGTTTGGCAGGATGGGCAGAAAAAGTGAGTTGTGTAAGTGTCTCCATGGTGGTGGTCACCGCCGCCCATATCTCGACGTGACAGCAACCGGAAGCCTCGAATATCCCCTGCAATATGACCCTATGATATGCAAAGCCACACGGCCTCGACTTCTCTGCGCCAGTGCAGCTAGCGGATTCACGGTGTGTACGTGTTTGGCCTCGGCTTCTGAGAGAGCGAGCGAACAAGCACATGGAGGTGCAGATTCAAGCACAAGCCTTGGTCGCGATGTGTATGTGCGTGACTAGCAGCAGATGTGTTCCCAGCAGCCTCGGGCCTAGCGACAAGCAGCTTCGCCATCGGCAGTTCCAGTCGTCCTGAACGTCGCATCTCCCCGAATCCCCCAATGAGGATCGCCGTAGCATCTGCAGCCTGATGCCATGCTCTTGTACTACAACAAGAGCTTTCTGGGCCTGCTGCTTGAGCGTCGCGGCAGTGTCTTCTACAGACCTGGCTCGCTGCCGCTTGGGCACACTCTCAATCAGCTTCAGGGTTAGGAGTAGGGGAGTCGCAACTCTTCAGCGTGGCCTGAAACAAGTCATCAACAGGGCTTTTCTTGCCTGTGACCTTCCATTGTTGATGTCCCGATTCGGGTCGCGAATCGGACGGTTTCGATTCGTCTCGGCTCAATCGTGTTATGTGGAAGGGCGATTGACAACGGTAACAGTTCAGGAAGCAGAAATAGAGAGGGAAGGTTGCTAATGGCAGCCCGCGTCTGATGTCATGCATTTGGCTTCTCGTGCTCCCCCAGGTTTGTAGGGGTCTTCTTGTCCGCACTCGGCGGAGCGCTTCAATACTGGCGCGACCGGCGGGAAGCAGAAGATGAGTGGGCACAGTGGGCTCCAGATATCTTTCACCACTACGGGTTCCAAGCCGTCGGAGCAGGAGTGCCAAGGAAAGCATCTAGTTGGCTGTTTTAGACAGAGGTTGAGTGTTGCTGTTGAAGTCTGGCTGTTTGTTGTCAGTCCGTTTGTTAGGAGGGAGGGCTTTGCGGGAATCTTCCGAGGTCACTTTCGCAATTGTTTTCCGCACACAACTTGCGTGGAATCGGTATTGGGAAGCCGTGACACAGCTCCATTTCATGTACAGCAAGTGGGCCGATGCGCTGCTCGACCGATGATTTATTGCATCTTTCACTACGCGGAAGGTCTGAAGGGCATAATTTAAGGCCGACCCTCCCCAGCTGAGGTTCTCGCAGTTTCAGGCCTTTGCAGAAGTGACGAAGAAAGCTGCGAATGGCAAGGGGGACACAGTGCATCTTGCCTCCTTGGGTGCTTCGAGAGAACTCTTCTTACGGAGAGCTTCCGCAGCCAAGGAAAGCTGACCGGATCCGACAGAAGCAGAAGCGGATCAAGGCAGCCTGCACATCGGCTTTTGCCACCGATTGTAGGGCAAAGTTGGAGACGGAGATGGTTTAGTTTAGGAAGCTGGGAGTTCAATCCACGTTAGCGAACGCAACAAGTCCTCCCCACGAAAGGTCAGAGAGCAGGTGCTCTGCCCAACTGGAACATCGCAGCAAAGATTTCCGCAGCCACTGGTTCAGAACAACGCACCTCCGAGCCAGGTGAACTACGCCTTGCTCAGCGCTTTCGCCGCCGACCGGCTGACCACCGGAGACCTGGCTATAGGCTAATTAAAGCATCTCAAATGGCTTCCAGGGTTTCAACGGGGGAAATCGTGCCGGGCCGGGGAGTTGTTGAGCTCCTCGATCTGCGGCAGCGGGCTTGCCTTGAGCTGTTACTGGGCAGTCCAAGACTGGGCCTGGATAAGAGAAGGGACCCCGTTTTGTCAGGAGACAACCAGCGCATGGAGGACGTGAGCGTCAGCAGGCAGGCTGGCAGGCAGGGTCTACTGCAAACGGGCCTTTCTTAATGATACTTGGGATGTTTCAGAGGGGCGAGACTTTCTGAGGGCTCGGGGTTTGATCACGACTTCCTGAACGCTAAACCTCGGAGCCAAAACCCGAAACCATGCCATGCCTGGCCCGGCTTCATTCATGTCCTGCTCCGAGGGCAAGAACCCGTGCGACCATGCGGGTGGACAAGGAACAAAAGAGCTTTAGCATGCCAGAGATGATCGAGACCCGGCACTTTTTTGGTGGTGCTTGCCATCTTTTCGGTCTATTGACTGTTGGGAAGAACAGAATCGGGATGCAGCTGGTGTAGGATTCCCTCGCACGACACAGGCTGCAGATAGGGGCATGAGGTGCTTTCATGTGCTTTCCGTGTGCACATGCTGTAGCACAGTGTCCGAAGCATAGGGTTTGCGTGGACAAGTTGCTTTGCAGTCCAAACACAGGGCCTACGAGACAAGGTTGGCGAAGAATAGGCAGCGATTAGACTAGAAGAACGATGCCAACCAGTTTCACGAGCTTACGCTGCAATAGTCCGGCCATCTCAGGAGCGCCAGGACCACGACAGGACCAAAACCGATGATGGCTTGTACGTGGTCTTTGGGGTGCCTTCAGACGACCAGGTCAGGCTGCTTGCCAGGAGCTTCGAACCTTGGAGTGCGTAGAGTCCTCATTGATTTTGTTCTGGTCTGCTTCAGGATGCTGCAGGCATCAGAAGCTCATGATTTCAGGTCTGCTTTGGAAAATAGCCTTGCAGCTGCATGATCGCAGTTTGCGCTGATCAGTGGACAGTCTGTAGCTGGCAACCGGAAGTAAGGATACCGTGGCCACGATCATGTACTGGATCATTTGGGACCTGGCAGATGCCATGAAAGACATTGACATCGCGCCCCCAATCCAATCCAGAATGTACCAGGAGCCAGCTGCAGGGGTTGTCCTCATGATGGGTTTCAGCAGCAAAGAGTAGAGCGACTAGCAGACAGATGGGAGGTCGCGGGTTCATACGACTACAGATTTCAGCCGAAAGTTCGCACGAACAAGAAGGATTGCCATGTTTCGTGGGGGCGGCCAGTGCAAACAGGAGCTCTCCAATGGCATGTGGCCGGACTCAGTGCTTGAAGCATTTCTGGGCGAGTGTGTGCGGGCGTAGTCGAGACGACTGTCGACAGCATCACTTTTGAATTGAGATATGCGAAACCCTGTGCTGGATTGCAGAGAGGATCGCAAGAATCTATTGCAGCTACAGAAACCGGCTGTTGAGTGACCGCGCACATGTAAGCGTGCCAAGACAAGCCCTTGATGAGGTTGGGTTTCAACAACTGCCTCAAGATAGCTGACGTTCCCTTCCCGCTGCCTTTCGCGCAGCTGTTGGGGATGTTGCTGGTGGCGTCGTTTAGCCCGATATTATGAAACAAGAGGTCATGACAACCTCGTCCTGCCAGACCCATGATTCAGCTGTGCGTGAGGTTTTCTGCCTTCATCCCAATCTATGTCATCGTTTTCACCCGGTCGCCCATAGCAGGGCCGATCCTGTGCCTTGTTCGGATTGCAGGTGCTTGACATCTGCAGCTCCTTGTTGTGAAGATGGCTCGTGCGCCTGGTGTAGTACAAACTGACAAGCGGTCTTTGCTTTGAGACCTCTTCTGGAATTCGGAACACGAAGAGCACTGGCTGGAGTGGCATCAGGTGTTTCCTGCTCTTTGAGTCCTTGTGGTGCCTCAATGAAGTGGCAAAAGAGCTGGAGAACCCGCCGATAAGCAGCAAGAAGTTTTGGGTCGCTTGAGATATTCTTTGCGAGTCCGTCAGACTGCACGCGTGCATGCCACCCGGCTCTGCGAGCCAGCAGACAAGGTTTGGGCACGATTCGAATGATATTACCCTATCCGAGCCTTGGCAGCCTGAGACATGCGTCATTTTGCCTCTTGGAAATGGGATCAGATCCCAGTTGCTCGAAAGCACAGTCTGGAGGACTTTCACCTGAACTTTGTGGACTCACTTGAGGACATCAGCATGGCAGAGCAACAGGTACTGCTGCACAAGCCAATCGTGCTCCCCGAAGAATCCCTACCCAATTGTGGCTTGGTAAAACAGCTTCTAATACCAGATTCATGCAGTAGCCGCAGGCTTGCTGTTTTGATCCGTTGCTTTGCTTGGTGGACTGAAATGCTCAGGCTCCGACGAAGTCCCCTCTGAAGTGCCGAAGTGACATACATGCGGCATCAGACTCATCGACATGATTTACTCTCACGGCTTGTCTCTCAGACGAGAGAGGGCAGTCTCACTAAGTGCCTTGTTCTGATTACGCAGCGCAAGTCTCGGCCGAACCTCATCAAATCTGTTTGTTTTGGACACCGTTTGCGGGGTCGCAGCCCAAGTTTGCGCGAACTCGAAGTACAAGGGTTTTGAGTCATTGCGGCAGCAGGTTCGGTACCGTCCTGCAGCGTAGCGCTAGGCGGAAGACAGTTCAATCTGGGGATCATTGGGAAAAGTTTCCGGCGAAACGCCTTGCAGCTGCAGATCTTTCTCACTGCGCTGGTGAGAGTTAGGGACTTGGCGGTCGCCTCTGTGTAGCGGTGAAAACGCAGCTGCTGCTTCTGCTTGGCATGCAGATCTGACACGCTTCTTATTGTCTTGCACTGTCTCACAAGAGATATCTGGCCATGATATGCTTCCGGGGTCGAGTTTTCAGCATCGCCCAGGTGGTGCAGATGGAGACGTTCTTCTTTGTGTGCTGGGCTTCGGCATGCTGTACAATCATGTACCTTGGCTGCATACGCTGCCGTTGACCTGTGCACTCGGTTTGCAGGTGATGCGAGAGTGTGCGAAAGCTCTTTTGAGGCCAAGCTGTTGGCTCAAGCATCTGGAAAGAAGCCGCCCTCTCAGCATGCATTCGGGGCTGACAACTTGGGCAAACTCGCGTTTTTGCGATAATTGCGGACGCAGCGTCAAGAGTGAGCGACGATGCCCGACCACACACCTGCTCACTGTCTTTTTTAGGTAGAGGCTTTTATTAGGTATTGCCATATTGCCTGTGATTATTCAGTGCTCCCTGGAGAAAGATGCTTCTATTGTGAGGTGTGAGGGCACGGCAAATCTGAGCTATGTGGCATGGTGGCAAGCAGTCTGCAGAGGAGGATAAGATTTATGATTTTCTAAACCTCCCGCTGCATAAGTCGTTGGGTCACACGCTAGTTTGGGCCCGAGCTCTCTTGTGTGTGGCTAGGGTTTTTGCTCCAGTGCTGTTTTACCCAAAGTGGATCATGGCTCGTGCTGTGCAGCGTGGGATTTTGCAGGGCAGCTACTGCAATGCACAGAGTTGTAGTCATTCTCCGGCCGTTCTTCGAGGCTCTGCGCACGCCGCCCGAAGATGCCCGCGATGTCTCAGCGGCACATTTACAGGGTCATGGTGCCATAGTGCGAGCAGATGGCCCAAGAAGAAAGCCCCGCGAACCAGGGACCCAACCCTGCTCTGTGCTCCGTGCCGGCCAGGACGGTGATGCAGGTGTTTGTGTACACTTTGCAGCAGCCAGGGCCATAAAGGCACGAGCTTGGCCCGAAAATTTGTTAGCAAGGTCAGTTCTCAACTACGTGTACGTGCTTATTGGTACTGTCTACCTGGATGTCGTTGCAGGAGGGCGAGGAGTTGCTCATTGACTACTCCGAGCGCCGCTCGGGCGGAGCTTACTCGCACAGTCAAGTCACACACGATCCTCAACCTCCCAAGATGGTCCAGTTCAAACCAGGCTTGCAGAGAGACTCGGGCTGCAGACTTCAACATGGATGCCAGATCTGACCAGTACGGTGCTGGTTTCGCTCAGGTTTCGCTTTCGGGATCCTCGCGAATGTAAGTTTGGCGTAAGCAGGGCTCTTGCGGGGTGAATGCGATGGAGTCCTTGTCTGCCTCGCACGGAGACGCGGCCGCAGCAGCTTCCGCCTCCTAGGGTGCAGGGTTTACGCGAAGATGTCGAAAGCGAACCACGCCACAGCAGCAGCAACACCGTAGTACATCGTAAGCGTGGTGTCAGGCGAAGTGAAGCCGTTGTTGCAAACCCAAACGTTTACCCTGCCTAGCGACTCGCTCAGCAATTCATAGCAAGTCAGTAGGCCAAAAAACATGAAGCGCCAGGATGAAACAGTTTATTCAGGCACGAATCCTTTTTCACATCTTCTTCTGCACTTTACTACCCCGTTTTCCAAGCTGGAGCAACCTATCTGAATACTTGGACCTGGGCCTTGCTCTCATGGCCGAATATGGGCAGCCGATCGCTCCTGCGTAATGGCGCACTGCCCAATCCTAGGTGGCTTGCTGTTCTAGCCAGCTTCTGCATGACGGTTTCTCCGGGGCGGGGGGAACCACCTATGTACGCAGAACATTATTGAACATAGCTCCGGGGAATTGCGCTTGTGATTCAGACTTCTGCATGGTCGAGCCTCTTTTGCGACTGCTGAGGAGTTTGCAGGGTTTTACGCGGTGCCCCTTTCAACACTGACACTGAGAACGATGTTCGTACAGCCAAGGATGATGGCTAGTCAATGTGCTGCGAGTCGTGCGAATAAGCAAGCCGGGCCCGTCCTCAGAACTAAAATGCCGAACGCACCACGCACACAATCCTGCACCGGAAGGTTTGGGCGAGTTAACGAAGGAGCTCATCTGCTGCCTTCCAGTCGATGAACCCTGCCCTGATGAGGGGGAGAAGTGCACTTCGTGTCTCGAAGTCTTGGTGGGCTGCCCTGTGCTGTTTTCCTTGATCAGTCGCCCGGCGCGCTAAGGACGTGTTCCGACTCTCCTTTGCTTCAGGCGGTGTGCATATTCCTAGACAGTATTGTGTGACAGCGGCATTCACTAGCACTGGCAATTCACTACAAGAGCTGAGACCGACGCGGTTGACCACATTTTTCCGCCGCACGAGGGTTTTTTTTGTCTGCTCGCATGTTGTGCCAAAATGCCCTCCAGCTGCCTGCGGCGGCCTCTGCCGAGTGGCGCTGCGCAGTCTCCGTCTCCAGGCCTTTGGCCCTGCCGCCGCCGAGGCCTCTGGCGTCATGCAAATAAGGGCAACATCTGAACCGCCGTGTGGTATACTCCTAACATCGCATTTTCCATGTCTGGCACGGCTGTGAGTATACTGCGAGCCCTGCCGACTCCTGATTTATGCGTCTCACCCACGTCTTCTGTTGCCCGTAGGCTCTCCTGCGCCTGGTGGCTCTGCAGATCACCGACCGAGGTGGTGATTGTCGAAGCCCATTCACCCCCAAAGTTCCGGGGTTGAGTCTTAGGCCATCTTAGGCTCCAGGTCCTATAGGGCCTGGTTCTAGAGTGGAGTCTGTAACTTTGGGTTGTCTCCTCAGGAGCCAGCATTGTGGAGATTGATGCTGCCTTCTGCCGTTCCATCACCAACGAGCCCGGGCATGTTCAGAGTTATGCAATTCGTGCCGCATTGTGATCCATCTGACGGTTTGAAGGCGTTGGCACAGTGTGGGAAGGGCCCAGCAAAAACAAGATGGAGCACACACAGGAAGTGTTCCACATAGCTGCAGACCTTGAAAACGACATTAGGATGCACACGTAGAGCCCGACGGAAGCTCAGTGGGAGCACAGGAAGGTTCGTTCATGAAGGAGCAAATGAGTTGGATCTCCTCCTTAAGTTGGCTTAGTTTGGAAGTGTTTGGGGATGTCAATTCCAGGCTTTTTAGATATTTGGGAACGTTTCGCCGTTTGTTGAGGGGGCAGGGGGTTCAGGGCCTGACGGGTCTGGGCTTCGACGAGCAACAAGTTCTTTGCTATTCAGACCTCGGGCTAAAGGTGGGCTACTTGTTCGGCCAGAGTCGGACTAGCTGGAGCCGGCAGAGCTTTGAGCATTGTCTTGCGGGAGAGCTCGTTTGTGCTAGCCCGAGATGCACATCAAACTCTGCCCACCGGTGTCTTCTTCTCTCATGACCTGGAAGAAGAAGGCAGAAACACGTCGAGATGCATGCATCGCACGAATGCCTTTGTGTACGAATGTGCGAAGTCGCGACCGGCCCTGCAGACCGAGACCTACCTTAAGAACCCAAAACCCACTTTCTTGTAGGCTCTTATTATAACGTCTAATATGGGATTTACAGGGACCCTACACAAAAGTAGGTTTTGGGTTCTTAAGGTAGTTGTTGCAAGGCAGGCAGATCTTTGGGCCAATCTCAGGAGACCCTCAAGGCGCTCCCAGTCCTTCCGGCGCTGGAAATCTTAAACCTGGACGGATGCCAGGACGTCGATGACGAGGCACAAGGGCGAGAGTCGGCTTTGGGCTGGGTTAATGTGTGTGAGCTTGTCTAGATTTTCGCTGCAGGGTGGCCTTGAAGGTTGGGGGTGGATCTTGAGGGAGCAATATCCGCATATATATATATATATATGTATCCGCACGGTGTAAGTGGCCTGTCGGAGAGGTGAGTTTGACTCGCTCCTCCGAGTTGCTGGAGACAGAACCGCATGCATCCGGGAAAGGTTTGATAGCCTGGTGACCGATTCCCGACACTTCGTGCAATGAAGGATAGAATGCGTCATGGAGCTGAGGGTGCTTCCTCTCAACTTCTCAATGCGAGAGCGTGCAGTAGACGCTGAGTAGACCAGTAGACCGTCCCTGCACTATTCCAGGGTCTCATCGCAGTGGCTCAGCGCTGCCGCTCTCTGCGGAGCTTCAGCATTTATTGGAATGTCAAGGCCTGCTTCGCCCCGCAGAGGGCACCGCTCAGAGCCGAGCTGAGTAGCTTGTGGTAGTCAGAGGCAGAGTCAGGTAGTCAGTAGTCAGGACACCAAGAAAGCACGCGAGCACCAGTCCTGCAGGCCACAGACGAAGGCATCGGCAAGGTGCTCCGAGCCCAGCCATGTGGCAACCTGCAGGTTGCCCGGTGTGGGAAAGACATTCGCTGAGAGCGTGCTGACTGTCGCCACTTTGTCGCATCTCGCCATCCTTCGTCTCAGGAGCTTTGCTTCAGTGGCTGCAAACTTCTCACCGATGCCACAGCGCGATCCCAAGACACAGGGTGAGCACGAGACTCGCTAGACCATGCCCTCGGCGAAGGAACGCGTGTTTCCATCACATTCTATCATGGCATGTTTCTGTTGCACAGGTGCAGCGTGTCGTGGGGCGGGCAACGAACCTGCAGCGATTGGACCTTACGCGCTGCCCACGAGCTGCTCGGCCAAGCCAAGCGCAAATTGCCCACGCACTTGCAGGACGTGACATGTGGGCGGGTTACGGGTAGCGCGGGCCCAGTGGCCTAGCGGCTCAAATGAAGCCAATGTCTTAGGTGTCCGAGATGGGCATCACGCTCATCTGCGAGACACTGCCAGAGCTGCGGGTTCTGCGCCTCTATGCGATGCTCCGGCCTTGAGTACGAGCAAGGGTTTCGTGCATTGAAGTCCGTTGTAGTTGTTGATCGCCCACCTTTCCCCGTGCTGATAAACATGCCGCTGAGAGATCTTCTGGCATCGTGCGTGCATTGCCAGCAGTAGTATGCTGACTGACGCAGCTTTGAACCTAGAACTGTGAAACGGCTGAGCCGAGCTCCGTGCTGCGAGCAAATCACGTGCAACTTGTTTTGTCTAGCTGCAAAGTCCAGGTCACAGCTGAGTGCGGAGTCTTTCTTGAGCTTGCAGAAGTCTCTTTGCCAGCAAGCAAGTGCCCCCGTGGACCTGCTGAGAGCGAGACAGATGGAGAGACGGGAATTCACGTCGGGGAGGCTTTCAGTGATGCGCTCTCGGTGGAGCTTGGGGATGATCACCTGCTCTGGCATGGCTTAAACCTGTTCCACCTCTCCCAAAGGTTGGCTTTTTCCGAGCTTAACATATTCATATTCCGGAACAAGTGCGCCATCAGATGCCATGTAATGTAGCTCCTTCAACACAGGCTGTGGCGAGGACTTCCTCCAAGTTGGTGGCAATAATACATCATCTCCAGCACTGTCAAATTCCCACCTTGTCTGCGCGTGCGTCTTTCAGTGGGCACTGGGAAGTCACACAGTTTGTGCTTCGCGCAGCAGGCAATCTGGGCGGCAGTCTTTGCTAGTTATTGTACCCTCGTGGCGAGTTCGGCTCATGGGTATTTGCAAGCAGGCCCCGTGCACTGCGCAACCCAGTACTGCAGTGGCTGGAGTTCAAGGGGGGGTAGAAATTGCCGAATGAGGTACTGTAAGGTATTTTTTTTTGAAGGGGGGGGGGTGAACCGACTTTCTCCCCAAACACCATGCGAGTCGAGGACTGCGGACTCGCATGAGGGAGTGCTCCTCTCTTATGCCCCACAGAAGCAAAGGAAGACAGCAAAGCAGAGAGAGAGCGGGGATAGCACCCTTTCCGAAAAACTGAGGATTGCGGCTCTGGCACTGTGTGCACTTGGAGCATCCGAGGCTGCCTCTGCTCGAGGAGTTGGACCTGTGCGGCTGCAGAGCGGAAGATGCAGCAGTCGAAGCCTACCTCGCTGCTGCAGAGCCAGGCGTGGGGAACGGCGGCCAATATCAAAAGCGGGCCAAGGGAGATGCTTGCCGATGGCCACAGTGTCTACGCTCCGTGCTGAGCTGTCCAGGAGCTCTGAAAATCCTCAACCTCACATGGTGCCCGGCTCTGACGGATGTTTCAATGTTGGCAGTGGCCAAGCACTGCACACGCTGCCTGGCTGCACAGCTAGATTCAGCTCGCTACTAGTAGATGCTGTATGTTGGGCTAACGTTGGCTTCGCATTGTGCGAGTGCAGGGAACGATTTCGCTCTCGAAGGAACACCTGGGGGGCATGTTTAGGCTGGCGCTCCAAACTTACCGGAAACGAATGCCAATCCTCCCGTGGATGGAGTTTCCAATCGAACCATGACAGTTAACCACATGTATCGAGTATTTTTTTCTTCTTGGTGTCTGTTCACACGGACTCCACGGACATGATGCTAGCATCGCTCACCTGACAAGGCAATCATGCATGACTCGCCTGCACAGTCCGAGTGCGAGTGCCCAAGCCTGAAGCTCGGCAGAGAGGTCTGACGTGGCTGAGCTTCTTTGGCAACCTGAACATCACGGCGACAGCTGTTGAGGCATGCCGGGTTTCGGTTTGGTCGTGATCGGAAGCTCCAGACTGGAGCCCTAAACTATTAGAGTAGAGTTCTGGGGCCCATTCTACTGTAATTATAG